GTAGACTTGTGATGAGACATCATATCCAACAGCCCAACAATTGACCATGGAAAAACTTTCCTGTCACCTGACCCTCGGCCAAATTTTTTGCCCATGATATTCCCCCCACCCGTTGGCAAAAATTTTTCATGACGAGATTCAAGTCACCCTGATCCAGAGGGTTAAGGTTTGTAAATCAGACACTTTGGTGTTACCCTGTACCATATGTTTCAAAGGTACTGTGACAATATGTATCTTATCTGAGTATTCCACCTAGTCAAAAATAAAAACAACACTAACAAAAACAATAGTTATATCATTACTACCAATATTATGGTTCTCATAAATTGTGACAAAATTTATTAGGACAAAATAATGATCATCATCATAATAATCCTATTAATAATTTGAACCCTCTAGATCTGGGTGCCCCACTGCCTGCACTTGGCCCAAAATCCGGGCATTAGGCTATATGGCAGGTTATAGGCATAAAATGCTCAAACCAGTGCCTTGGCAGAAACCAAGATGACAATTATGGCCAACCCTATCTGACCTACTGTTAGCCTGCAGAGGTCAAACCATCAAGAACACTATCAATGCCTGGCTATCCTGAGGGCTAGCCACAAACCATGCTCAAGCACCATTCCCAGTTCATGGTAACGTGGATTCCTTTATCTGTGTTGAACTCTTTCCGCAATAAAGAGTAAAGCTGTGCCAATCTATCATTACACCCACCAGTCTATGTATTAAGGAACTCTCAGCCTCTTGCAGGCTTGCTTTAGGTGTGGTTTGCATACCAAGCCCATACTAACACTTATCTAAGGTATTAAGAATCCCTGCCTCCAATTTGCAATGTTGTTATTTCCTTTCACACCAAAATGAATTGACTTCAAGTCTCACACATGGAATATGATTCCAGGCATAAGATGCACATTTAAAAAAAAAAACTGAACTGAAGTGAACTCCACAGGCAATCATGCAAATGGACAAATCAAGATGAAATGTGAGCTGAATTCTTTGATCATAAAAAAACAACAATAATAACAATAATAATAATAACAACAACAAGAACTATGTGACAGTGACAGTGACAATGACAATAATAATGATAAAAATAATAATAAGAAGAAGAAAATTAACAACTAATTATGATAATTATGATAATGATAATGATAATGATAATGATAATAATGATAATAATAATGATAATAATAACAATAATAATAACAATAATAATAATAATAATAATAATAATAATAATAATAATAATAATAATAATAATAATAATAATAATAATAATAATAATAATAATAATAATAACAATAATAAAAAGAATAATTCAAACAATTTTAATAAAATTTGAACATTTCTAATAATAATTTGAATAATTACTATAATGATGATAATGATGATGATAACAACCATAAAACAATAATAATAATAATAATAATAATAATAATAATAATAATAATAATAATAATAATAACTATTAAAACTATAATAATTACTTTAATAATATTAATAATAATAACAACAATAATAATAATAATAATAATAATAATAATAATAATAATAATAATAATAATAATAATAATAATAATAATAATAATAATAATAATAGTAATAATAATAATAATAGTAATAACAATAACAATAACAATAACAATAACAATAATAATAATAATAACAATAACAATAACAATAACAATAACAATAACGATGACGATGATAACAATAACAATAACAATAACAATAACAACAACAATAATAATAATAATAATAATAATAATAATAATAATAATAATAATAATAAATACAACAAAAATAATAGAAACAATAAAAAATAATAATAATAATAATAATACCAATAATGACAACGACAATAATAATGATAATGGTAACAACAAAGATGATCACAACAATAATAAAGATAATGATGACAATGATGATAACAATAACGATAATAATAATAATAAATAAAATTAATAGTAATAGTAATAGTAATAGTAATAGTAATAGTAATAGTAATAATAAATAATAAGAAAATAATAAAAATAACAATAACAACAAAAATAATAACAATAACAATAACAATAACAAAAACAACAATAATAATAATAATAATAATAATAATAATAATAATAATAATAATAATAATAATAATAATAATAATAATAATAATAATAATAATAATAATAAAAATAATAATAACAATAATAATAACAATAATAATAATAATAATAATAATAATAATAATAATAATAATAATAATAACAATAATAATAACAATAATAATAACAATAATAATAATAACAACAACAACAACAATAATAATATTCATAATCACCATCAATACTACTACTACAACAATAACAATAACAATAATAATAATAATAATAATAATAATAATAATAATAATAATAATAATAATAATAATAATTATAACTAGAAAAATTATATGACAGTAATGATAATATTATGATGATGATAATAATGATGATGAAAGTAATAACAATAATAA